AGAATTTATTGTAAAAGCTGAATGATGCAACTCGATGTTCTATCATTTCCATCTTCAAGCAGAAAGGGGACTCGACGTAGTGTTTCAGTTACTGTGGCAACAGGACAACAGCGCATACCATGAAATGGTACGATCGGCAACTGTCTCCAGAATGAGGGATCTTATGCTTCTTCATCTCATTGCTAGCAAAGTGATGTACATAGAAGTATTGAGGAAACGAGCTATGTATACTTCTGGAAGGAGAAAGAAACCATCTACCGGAACAGGCACCCTGACGAGAGCTGGTCATGGCCGCGTTCCCCTGAACCTGAGGGAGGATTGACGATGACATGACGAAGGACTTAGATGGGGATCTATGCTTTCAAAGCATCGGAAGCGTGTATAGATAGAAGATCTGATGATGCAAGCTAGAGAGATCAAATACGACGTCATCGGACTGACCGAGACGAGAAGGCATCGCCCGCTGCACGCTGTTTTTGAGCCTGAAGAAGGAATGTTCCTTGCAACATGCGACGGTAGAGGCGTCGGCGGCGTAAGTGTCCTTGTCAGTGCGCACTTGGCTGTGAACATCGATTGGTACGAAAGCTTGACAATCCGACGTTTGCGATTGGGAAGATGTGGTTCAACCCCAACTCTAACAATCTTCGTTGTTTATGCGCCAGCACTGAGCTACGATGAAGAAGAGCTGGAGGCGTTCTTTATGGATATAGAGAAGCTCTACAGAGAAGACCATACTTTTTCAAGGTCATCGTTGGTGATTTTAACGCCGAGATTGGCCTCACAAGAACGACTGAAGAAATCTATCGGGACTCACGGCATGGAATGGAATGAGCAGCGTGAAAGGCTGCACGAGTTCATTATGTCGACCCACACCATCCATGGTAACTCGCAGCTCCAGAAGCCCTTTAATTTGCGATGGACCTGAGACCTGGATCGGAGTCACCTGGTGGCCAGTTCGGTAATAAGATAAACCACATCATCCCCAATTGGAAGTTTTGCCTGAGAGAGCTGTGCAGTTCAAAAAACGAACCCAGAGACCTTCAACAAGTGTGACCACTTCGCTCCCCTCCCGTCCCCTCCCGAGTGGGCATTTCCGTTATCGGCAACATCGCTGAGGAATACAACCAGCTCTTCGATCATCTTACTGAGAGTGTTAGGAAAGCAGAGAACCTACAAGAAGCCAAGGAACGACCCTCTTCGAAAATTTTCGAGATGATACGCCAGCAGATAATCGCGCGAACTGCAGGCAATCACCAGCAAACGTCGAAACTTGCGAAGCTATGCAGAGTGGCGATAGAGGAAGATCTAGAATAGAGAAGAGCAGCATTCACGAAAGCAGCCAAGGCCGAAACGAGCATTAGCAAAGCCCGACGAAGCTTCACCAATTTTTAGACCAAGATGACTTCCCTTCGTCGTCTTGCCGGACCAGTGACTGCATCTCGAAGTGCAATGGAGAAGGTCATCTACGACTTCCACTCGGAATTCTTCGACAGCCACGTTTATCTGCCTACCTAAAACCTTAGAGCAAGACGAGTATATATCGCTCCTTCGGTTTCATACGTGTCATCCTGAACAAGATTGGCAGAACATTAGATGAAGGACGGCCATGCGAGCAAGGTAGGCTTCGGAAAGAGTTCAGTAGAATCCATCATATTTGCACTATTACAAGACTCACTGAAGTATTGCGAGATTACGAAATACCGTTATGTCATGTTCATCGACTTGAAGAAGGTCTTTGATGTCTGTCGAGACGGAGGCGTTAATTGAAGTCCTGGGCAACCAAGGTGTTCCTACTCAATACATAAGGATTCGCGAGCACTACGGATTTCGACATTTTACAAGAAAGTCATTGTCTATGTCTAAAGAGGGGTCCGACAAGGCAATATCCAAACTTTTCAGTGCCGCTCTTTAGTGTATCGTGCGTTATTTGGAATAGGAATTCTTGAAAGTGAAGGTAGACGGCCGCTATTTACATCGCCCCCACTTTATAGACGACATCGTGCTTATAACATCAAACATCGAGTAGACGAAATTAATGCTGGCCGAATGTGACANATTGGCACCAGATGTTCCCTCTGCGCTAAGCGGAACGAATATCTCTAACTCTAGCTATGTGTATCTTGGTCGGGAATTCAGCATGACGAACTTGGCAAGAAGGCAAAGAACGTCCGGTTCGGCGCTCACTTTTTCCACACTGCTGTTCTTCTGGCTTTGATGAACGCCACGGAGACTTGGATCTACGAAAGCAGGATGAACATGTTGTCAGCTTTACTCAGCGCGCTTTGGAAAGGGCGATGCTCAGAATTTCCCTACTCACACAAGAAGGGAATCCAGAATTCCGAGCTCCGTAATCGAACGAAGATCAGGGATGCCGTTGCTTACGTCAAGATTTCAAAGATCAGGTGGGCCAAACTCGTTATGCGATATCGCGATGACCGTTGGACCAAGGCGGTTACTGACTGGATCACTCGGGTCATCAAGCGAACACCATTACGGCTCCCACATTATGGTCTGACTTCTACGAAAGGTCTGAATGAAAGGAATGTTGGACCTCGTGTCCTTTAAGCGAGGACGATTCACTGACCACTCTGGCTCATGACAGGGACGAATGGAGACGTTACTGGCGCCCGCTCGAGAAAATCCATGAACAGCGGAACGATAGGTGATGCAGGCGACAGGCGATATATATTTGTTTATTCATAAAGGTTAAAGGATAAACTCTTGGGGGTCAATCAATCCTGTCTGGAGATGCGCCCACGCATCCGCATCCGACTTCCATTCAGAATCGTGGTGGCTTATATAACGCTTATCTAGCCTGTTCAATGGCTTGCGGTGGCCGGCCATTGTACAAGTCAATGTTTTATCCTCCCACACGAGTCTGGTACCATTTAACCGACCTCGAATGACGAAAAGCTTGGTTAGCCTAGGCGAATATCGTCTTAGCTTCTTAAAAGTATCGGGCTTTAACGTAGTCATTGAGATTTTTGTACGGGGCTATGCCCTGTCTTGTAAGCTGCTGTGCTACATATGTATAAGCTTTGTGAGCATACTTTCAGATCAACCGTGTTGGTCGCCTTTTTGACCATTCTTTCACCTGCTGTTGCCTGTAAGTTCACTTTTCATGCGCAATTCATAATGTAGCAGCTTAAGCACTTTTTCGAGTTTTTTATATGAACAAAACATTGCTGAGCTCTTGCATTCTCTTGCAAAATCATCAGAACTCAAAAACAGGAGGTGCCAGCTTGGAGTTTAGCCAACTGAAGAGAATAGCTGATCTTATGTGCTTTCCTGAATGGACGTAGTTTCAAGCGGTGCATTATCTTACAGCATGGTCCAATAATCGGATCCTGAATCGATACTAACCTAGTAAAAAGGTTGTATATCCCGATGACAATATATAATGTGTTTCTCCAGATAGACTGTGGATAACGAATATCTTCTTTTCCAAACGTGGTGGTCCAGTAGTAGTAGATTATTTATACCGTTCAGCGAATAACAGCAACAAATATAATACAATAACTGGCAGCACAGAAATAATTCAGGACCTTGAGGCGTGGGCGAGGGATCGAGAAGAAGAATAATGAATCTATTGATTGATATGTCGCCTATTTATACCTGCAGGCCAAAGACCAAAAAATCAAACTCCCATTCCCGCCAGATCGCTTACATTCGGAGATCAAATATTTTTTGATCGCGATCGTCGCGATATTCCCCACCACTATGGTCCCGTTCAAAACACGTGTTAGACAACAAATAAAGCGTAAATCTTAGTAACAAACAATTCAACACTTCATGAAATTCACGCCGGATAGACTTGGCTCTGTAGCTCCTCCAGCTTCTCCTTTAACTCCTTGATCCTGCGTTCTGCTCCCTTCTTCGCATGCGTTGCTTGGGCCAGGTTTCTGTTGATTTCCTCAGACCTTTCTGGTAGGTCGCAGACGGAACTATGGTGTCCATACCCTTTGCAGTGGTAACATTTCGCGTTGTATTTGCGACAAATGTGGTGTTGGAATCTTATCTCAAGGCAGCAGGCGCATCTATGTTCTCCTTTCAGTATCGTTCTGCGTACCGAGCTTTCCTTGTAAATCTCACAAGAGTCGCTATGATGTTCTCCGATTCCCTGGCAAAAAACACAGCAAATCGTTCTCTCGTCCCAGCGTCTTATGACCCCTCGACTGAAGTCCCTGGGTTCACATTTGGGTTCTCTTTTGAGTTCAGCGATGAGATTGTCGAGTTCCTCAATTTCTGCGTAAGCGTCGAAGATTTCTCTATCTATTTGGCGCCTGCGCTGCCAAATCACGGCCTCGTACTCTTCTCCATCGTCCACTGCGACATTTTCTATAAATTCGGCATTCTGCTGGATAACCTCCGCTTCCTCAGGGGGGTCCGGCCCTGGCTGAAGCACCTCAGTGCCCTCCCCCTCGCCGCCGCTATCGTCTCCAGCTCCGTCTATGGCGTCTTCCGAGGCTGCCGGTGGGGACGGTTTCCCAATGGCGTCGGTAACTGCGTTGCGCACGCGGTCTATGCCCGAAGCGATGAGTTCTTGAAGTTTCGACGTCTCGTTTTGAACAATCGCTTTCAAATCCTCGAGACAGTTCTGGCCGTTGCCTGGAAGAATGCTTTGGAATCCAACTTTCAATGATTCTCTGACTTCCGTCAAGGCTGATAGCACGGTTTCCTGGAATTTCTCTTCCTGGTGAACTTCCTCGCCTTTGATTTCATGTCTCAGTTCAGCCAGCATCGACCGGTACTCTTCAAGAATGTCCAACTGGTCCGAGATTACATGCTCCAGCTGGTGTTGATCCAGTACGAGCGGTTTTCCTCGGTCGTCTCGTTGTGGCTTGTCCATCAGGATGTTCCAGTCGTCTTCAGATATCATCCCATAGGCGATTATCAATGGCACAACGGCGAATAGAGTGCGGAGCTCTGTACGTAAAAGCGTAAATTCGGCCCATGTCTTTTCCCTCAGGGTTTCTAACAACTTTAATTGCGCCCAGCGTTCTTTCGGGTCTTTTTTTGGATTTCCTCAAGTCCTGAATACGACAAAATAGATCACTCATAAAGCGAGTCGCTACACGAAGTTGCATGCTTTTGTGTATCAGCTTGTTGTACAGCGTGTATGGGTCGGGCAGCGGCGGAATGGCCTCTTTGACTCGACGTAAGCGTTGAACTTCCTCATACAAGTCCATAATCTGAAGGAGTAATGTTGGCGTAAACCGAATGCGTATTGTTAGCTGTATATCTTTGTTTACCAATTGACTTTTCTATGTCATGAAGTTTTCGGAGCGTTCTTTGGATGTTATTTTTAAGCGTGAACATCAAAACGAATTGTGAGCGTATTGTTTTTCTCGATACTTTTTGAAGACCAAAACAAGGTGGGTGGTGTCATGAACCCGATTTTGCTTTTATGAGCTTTGTGTATCGCAGGAAAAGGTCAAAGGTGGTCAGACCATAACAGCTCGGTGGGAAATCTTTAATCATCGTAGACGTCCACCGCTGAGGTCTCAATACGAATCTCAAGGGGCTCCTGTGCTTGATATTGTTGAAGGGGGTCCCCCTAGTTTGCGAGGTCTTTGTTCTGAATGAGCGTTCATGATTACCTGATTCCAAAAAGGCCTTACAACCATACTTTGTTATGAACGATGGTGATCGAGACGTGTACGGTTGCGTTATGACGGAGGGTGAATGAGCGTAAACTTTTTGGGATTTGTTTACGGTTTGCGTTATAACTCGTAACATTTTGGCGCAGATCGTAGCGTCAGTGGGTGGATTCCCAGTCGACCTTTGAAGAAACGAAAGAAGCATGATGCAGAAAAGGAACCACTTTCTAGACCCGATGCGCGTTTTCTGTGTGGGGTTGACAGTCTTAACATGATGAGTGCTGCGTAATTGCGCGCGTGGCCGTAGATTGTAGGGTCCCTGTGTCGTAGGATGGACTTGGACTGGTAAGTCTCGACAACCCCCGTCTTCACTCGATGTTGCTTCTTTGTCGTCCTTGAGCTCCAGCGGCACGATGAGGTTGATAGGCCGTTTCATAGACTGTCTCGTGCCCGTAACCAATTCCACTTCCCGGATTTGGCCGTCGGACCCCGCGATGGTTCGTGTTATTCGCGCAAGCTTCCAGTCATTCCTTGGGAGAATAGGATCGATTACGAGAACAATCTCTCCGATTTTTGGAGTACAGTCGTGATGACGTTTGGAAGAAGTATGCCGTTTGTGGGTCTCCCGCAGGCTGGTTAAGTAGTTCTTCTGCCACACATTCCAAAATTGTTCTGTGATCCGGCAGGATGAGGCCAATGCTTTCTCTGCTTCTATTTTCGTTGCCAGAGCACGACTTTCCGCCGGTGGAAGGTAATCTGGATCTGTCGTTTGACTTAGATTCTCGTAGGAAAATGTCAGCACAATGTCTTTCTGAAGGAAGTCAATAGGGCGAATAGAGTCCAGATTGTCTTGCTCTGAACCTTGGTAGGTCAGCGGCCTGGAGTTCAGGCAAGCCTCGATTTCCAAAGTTGTCCTGAGGTCGTCTACTGACGAAGGGGGCTTTCCCTTGAGCGATTTGTAAAGTGCGTGTTTAATAGACTTTATCAGGCGTTCATAAAACCCCCCTTGCCAAGGTGCGTAGGGAGTAATGTTTTTCCATTCGATCTCGTGTTGTGCCTTTAATTGGTCGATGTTTCCACTGATCTGCGACGAGCTTACTGAGAGGGATAGAATTTCTGCCGCAAGGAGGAAAGTAGGCGCATTGTCACTTGTGATGGTAGATGGTACCCCCCTGCGAGCTACAAATCTCCGCAGAGCGTTCAGGAAATCTCCTATTGACATGCTTCGCACCAGCTCTAGGTGTATCAGTCGCGTCACCGCGCACGTAAAAATGCACCCATAGGTCTTGCACTCCTTCTCGTTTTCCTTAACAACAGGGAGGTCGAAAAAATCAAGACCAATATGTTGAAATGCGTGGCTGCGTACTACGCGGCGAGTTGGCAAATCTTTTTTTTTTCTGGGTAAGCGTAGGGTAGCCCGTTGAATCTGCGACATTTCACGCAGTGTTTTACTAGGTGGCGTACTTGTTGCCTTAGTTTTGGTATCCAATACTGTGAGCGTATTGTCGCCATGGTGTGTTCGATTCCTTGGTGGTAATTTCCGTGGGCTTCCTTCACAATAAGGTCGGCCAGCGGGGTTTTGGGAAATACAAAAATAGGGCTTTTGGCGTCTGTGTCCAGAATGGTGTTCCCAATACGACCTTTCGACCGCCAGAGGTGGTCCTCATCTTTGTAAAGGCGCAACTTATTTTCTATGGATTTCCGGTACTCGTCCGTGAGGTGGAGGACCTGATGGTTGCGTATAATGGCTCTTCGAGACGCAGCCAAGGCGTAACCTCCTATGGCCTGAGGGTAGATGGGGGTGTGCCTAAGTTCTGGAATGTTTCCCTGTATTGCTTCTTTCCGTGCCTGGGGTAAGCGTTCCACTAGTTTCTTAACAAACACCATCACGAGCGCCATGACTCTTTTTGCTTTGGTTAATGAACTGAAGCGGGACAGGTCTATTATTTGCTCCACCGTTTCTTGCATGGGCTCTAATCCCACTGCGTTCACGAGTGCTGGCGCCCGGTCGTGCTCTTGGGTATTGTCCATACTAAGTGCATACGACGGAGCGGACCACGTGCCTATGGGGTCGCGTAAGAAGTTAGGTCCCTCCCACCAAGAGTCATGGTCCAACTGCGTTTTTGTAAGACTCGAGTACCAGCATCAGCTGGGTTCTGATTTGTCGGTACAAATTTAAATTTCACTTCAACTCCTTCGCCGTTGGAAGCTTCTACAATGCGTCGTATTTCTTTCAAGCGATTATTAACGAGCATTCCTAGATTTGATGCGGCTGGATTCGAGGCAAGCCAGCTTAGCGCAACTTGTGAATCGGAGAAGATATAGGCGTTTTTCAAACCCTGGGGAATGCGTTCCTTGAGCGCTTGGAATATTGCGAGTGCTAGGCGTAATGCTATCGCTAGTGCGTTCATTTCCATTTTGGGTATAGTAGGGTTACTTTTTATGGAGGGTAGTTTGCACTTCGCCATCACCAATGTGGACTGCTCAGCACTGAAGATATAGGCGCATGCCGACATAGCGATGGAGCTAGCGTCAGAAAAGACTGCTAGACTGCTGCGTTCTGGATTGCTCACGAGGCGTCTACAGAAGGTGCGCTCAAATCCATGTGCATTTTCACAAAGCGTATTCCAGCGCTTCTGTAGGTCTTCAGGTAATGGTTTGTCCCAGCCATACTTGTGCTTCCACAAGTCTTGTTGGAATCTTTTTGCCTGGGTGAGAAGTGGGACAAGCCACCCAAACGGGTCATACACTGAAGCAATTTGTCTTGCTACGATGCGTTTGGTAAGGTGTGGCGTAGGTGGGAGATTGCATCGGATTGATAGCTTGTCGTTTCTGCTATCCCATGGTATTCCCAAGACCTTTTGCTGCGCTGTGCTCGCTCGCGATTCTCGCGCGAGTCCTTCGTTCACAACTTTATCGTTGGAGAGAAACTCTCGCAGATTCATACCCATTTTGGCAAAAATCTCTCTGGTACATCTGGATTTGTGTATCGCTTCCTCTGGGGTTTCCGCTGCTAGGATGAGATTGTCGACGTAGAGGTACTCCCTTATCTCCTTCTCCAGCCTTTTGTCGCTCACTGCGTTGCGAAGGTGGAAGTGGACTGTTGCTCCGAGTAGAAGGGCGATACGTTAAGGCCGAAAGTAACCCTGGTGAATCGATAGGTAATCAGATTTTCCTCTTCGGGGTCCTTTTCAAAGTCGCGTACCCAGAAGAAACGTGTCGCATCGCGATCGAGTTCGTGTAAACGAACTTGAAGGAACGCTTTCTCTACGTCTGATGTTACGACGAACTTCGGAATTCGAAAGCGTAATAGCATAGCGTAGAATTCAGGTAAGATAAGGGGGCCCTGATGTAAGACGTCGTTTAAAGCAGGGCAGTTTCTGAAGTGTGAGGAGGCGTCGAAAACTATGCGTAGTTTGGTGGTCTGCTTATGGGGCGTGACGACCGGTTGGTGTGGGATATAATGGATTACCTCTTCGTCTCTCTTGTGAGGTTCCGGTACTTCTTCAATGATGCCCTCAATCTCCTGGGATTTGAAAGTGTTGTGGTAATCCTCCAAAAGTTTTGTGTTGGACCTCAGCGTGTTCAATACGCTACTGAGTCTCTTTAGCGCGATCGTTTTATTTAAGGGAAGCGGGGGATGGTTTTGTTTGTATGGCAGGCGTACATAGTAACCATCGCTTCTCCTTTCAATGGTCTTGTTGAAAAACGAAAGCACTTCTTCGTTAATCGCCGATCTTTCGGCGTCGATTGTGCCGGTGTATTCACATACCCCTGCCGTGTCCATGGTCCAGTATTTATCCCATCTGAGGAGATCATCTTCTTCACTTGTGATGGTTTGAATCATTGATACCATACTGGGCGTAACCCCAATCCTCTGCTCGGATATGGTGGGCAACCGTTGCTTCCCAGTAATTAAATACCCCAGTTTTGAGGGGATGAGCTGTAGCCCTGACGGTAGCGTATACTGAGGAGAAGGATCACTCAATAAGCCCCACAGCTGGTCGCAGCCAAGGAGAATTTGCGGGCTGGAATTCCTGAGTTTACCTCGCCTTGAAAGCTTGAGCCTTTTGCTCGCGATGAAGCTCACATCTTTTGCAGTGAGATGTGTTTCCGTTCCTTTTCCAGTCAATATTGGTATTGTGTGCAAGTGCAGGGCATGTTTCCTTCCGTGGTTGTCCTTGAGTTCTGCTCGGACGACCCCACATCTTGTCTCTATTGGTACTGTGGAACCGAAAGTATAAATATTTAAGTCCTTGGTCTCGTCGGATGCGAGACCTAGCTCCTGCGCAAGGGTCTGGTTGATGAACGACTGGTCTGCTCCTGTATCAAATAGGATTTCGACCAATTGCCACTCTGCTTTTATCGCGTTCCACACCTTGCCTACTCCTGTTAGGAGAAGCACGCTCTCATTTTGAGCATGTTGTGCTGTATGAGTGCTGTATGCGCTTGATGTGTCTGTATCTGAAGCCAGCTGCGGAATGGGATTCCGTACAAAGTCCTCTTTTGTCGATGTGGATATGGGGTGCACTCTTGTGTCCCTTGTGTGATCGCGCGCCGTAGCATTGCCTGCTCTTTGTTGCGCGCTTGGTTTCTGAGTTGGTGTCGGCTTTTTGCTGGGTGGTGGAAGTTCCTGCTGTTTTGTATGTCTTCCCACTCTCCGGGGACACAAGACTTGGCTGTGCTTTTTTCCACCACAGGACCTGCATCCTTCCCTTCTGCAGTCCTTCATCCAGTGCCCCTCTCTTCCACAGTTGAGGCATATATTCCTTTCCAGAAGAAAGTTTCGTCTTTCGGCAGTGGTTCTATAACTGGGACATTCGACTGACCCATGTTCCGAAGATTCGCAGAACATGCACGCCTTGTGTGTTGCGGAAGCTGTGGAATTCCTTTTCCAACCTGATTCTTTGCAGTCCCCCGCGACCCCTTGTTTATTGACAATTTCATTTATGCGCTCTTCTGTGCTGATCTGAGCGTCTACCGCTTCTACCATGACTGCCATTTTCTACTGGCTTTCCTCCATGTCTGGTGTCACCAACTGTTCCAGTACCTTCCGCTGTATGCGGACTGCGAACTTGGATAGCACCTTCTGGGCGTTGTATGATCCATCTAATACAACCCCTAACTTTTGAAGTTGTGTAACAAGCGGAATTATCATTTCCAAAAGCCTCCTCTGAGCTTGTATTGTTACACCTTCTGCTTCCGCCTCCTCTAGACGGCGTTGTAGAGCGGTGATAAGCTGGGAAGGGTTACCGTACTTCTTCTTCAGAAGGCCTACTGCGAGCGCATAATTCTCTTCTGTGATAGGGTATCGCTTGATCAGTTGACGTGCCTCACCACGTAGTGCCGATAGTAGGTAGTTGAATTTTTGCAACCCACTCAATGAGTGCTGAGAATCCACATTGGCCTCAAATAGTGTCCAAAAATTTGAGAAGTCCCATATCTTACCTTCAAATATCGGTATTGGGACTGGGTGGTAGCTTGGGTGCGATTGCTTCTAGTTGGTAGGGACCCCTTGTCCGCATTGGAGGCGAGTCTGACTCCAATGCTGCTGCAGTATCTAAGGCTCCCATGCGTTTGGTCTCAAGTTGCAGTGCGAGTTTTTCTGCGTTATCGACTGCGTTGTGTGCCTTTTCTATATATTCCTCTGCCTGTGTTTGCTGTTCTGCGGTAAGGGGTTCACCAAGGCTATCCAGCGCTTCGCCCAATAAATCGATTTGATCTAGTACCAATCGAACTGATCCTTTCAGTTCTGCCACGTACTCCGTTATTTCCTTCCCCTGTGGCGGGGCGTCGCGCGGGGATCGATTATCGCGTTCGCTGCTATATCTATTGATCAGCCCCACCAAATTGTTGCAATACCGAGTGAGGAGGGATTTCCGTGTTTTCAGCGCCATTGGACCCGACATGGTTATTTTTCGTGTTTGATTCTTTTCGATCGATTTTTGTCGAAACAAAGACGAAAAAATCAAAAAACCGAATCAAAGAGAAAAATCCAATCAGAGTATTCAATTGAAAAAAGCGTGTTCTAATGGCGTGGATTCTGCGTGAACTTTCAAAATGAGACTCAAAAGTTCTAAGCGTTCAAATGAAAATTCGGTACCTCCTCACTGGTTTCCTTGTCCTTTTGACAGATGCACCATAAAAAGGTTGTATATCCCGATGACAATATATAATGTGTTTCTCCAGATAGACTGTGGATAACGAATATCTTCTTTTCCAAACGTGGTGGTCCAGTAGTAGTAGATTATTTATACCGTTCAGCGAGTAACAGCAACAAATATAATACAATAACTGGCAGCACAGAAATAATTCAGGACCTTGAGGCGTGGGCGAGGGATCGAGAAGAAGAATAATGTATCTATTGATTGATATGTCGCCTATTTATACCTGCAGGCCAAAGACAAAAAATCAAACTCCCATTCTCGCCAGATCGCTTACATTCGGAGATCAAATATTTTTTGATCGCGATCGTCGCGATACCTAGGTCAAGCAATCCTTCCATTGCTTTGTAATCGTTTAATTAGTCCCAGTTGGAAAAATCATCCTTTATATCTTCTCAAAGTTAAGGTGAGATTGAATGACGAAAGTCGAGAAACCTAAGCCGTACCATTTCGCGTTGCACGAATATCGTGCCATGACAAAAGAACCGGGTAGCAACAGAAATTTTTTCCGGAAAGTTGAGCAAAGAGCTACACGGAGCTTTAGAACCAGCTTCATTTCACTAGAGATTGATGGCGATCCTGAGTCTGCTGCTTTTGAAAATAAACAGCCTCAGAAAGTGCTGATGTCGCTCAAGTGCTTCAAATGTTCAACTTTGAGGCATTTCTCTCCTTAAGCTCTATACGCGTGCGCAATTGCAAGGCATGCTGGGCACGAAATGTGAACGCAAACGAAAGGTGTTAGGAGGTGGTAATTACTGGCAGAGGCCACAATTAGACTTCACAAAGGAAAAGACATGGAATTCATCAACCCGTCGCGATGGAAGTCAAACCTTGGCCCTCATTTTATGTGTTACCCTTCTTCCTTCTGACATACAAATCAGCATCTTGACGTGTCGGTAATTTTGTCAGTCTGCCGGACTGAATGTTAGCCTGTGTGTCTGACCAACCGCGTAAGTCTTCATGTAAAGGTAGTGATATGAAAAACTAAACACAAATTGATAGTGAAACACAGAGGGNGGGGGGGGGGGGTTAGGCTCAAAACGTATTGATACCTATTCGGCCTTGACGATTCCGATCAACTGATAGCGATC